AGTATATTATCTACATTAAATACAGTGGGAATAATTCACATTATAATTGGCATTCTGATTTTTTGTTTTATCAAAACACATTGTTCGATTATTACATAATTTCATTCGAAGCTACGATTTACACCTAATTGATTCGTGTTTAATTTAAATACAATAATCATATAAAATTCATTTTCAAATTAAAATCGACTTTTCTTCTTTACAAACATTTACGTACACTATACACTTGCTATTATGTACAATTACAATTTCTCCTTAACTGGCTAAATTTCTCTCTCCCATTTAAATATTCAGGGCAATGTTAAACAGCAACCGACAGGACTTTTGTACAATATTCCCCTTAAATCTTATTAAACTTCATCGATTAGGGATTATTAATTTAACTGACTTTAGAATTTTGTTGATTCGTTAACAGCAGTGCTCGTTTGTAGGCCTTTCTTTCGTTTACTGTATTTAATTATTTATAATAATAACAATTGACTATGAACACTAGGGCAGAGGGGCAGCATTGTATTCAATTCTCGTTGCGTGTTTATTAAATTTCTAAATTAAAAATAATCGGCAGATTGATTCGCGTATCAACGAAACAATGGTTTCATCTTAAAGTTCAAGATTGCAGCGTTCAATTAAATGACTATGTGCAAAATGATGGACTGAATGAAAGTTCGACGTTGAATGACAGATCAATCATTATTGGACGTCATTTACTATGTTTGATAAATGATAAAAATCGAACTGCTATCGGCCAGTATTTACTCGATAGTTAATAGTAGATCGTCACCCTCTAATCTCATACCCTGATTGACGTCCAGCGTCTTTATTTTGCCAGCTTTAGGTGCTTGAACAACCATTTCCATCTTCATGGCCGATAGAACAACCAACGGAGCTCCTTTCTCTACCGTGTCGCCCACTTTCACCCTTATATCGATTACCGTACCCGGCATCGGTGCTCCCACCTGGTTCTTGTCACTCTTTGCTGCTTTCGGGTGAACGTGCAGCTCCTGGAAATAAAAGACCAACGAATCGTGACACCGAAATATAATAGAATTATGATTAAAAAATAACAATAAAAAAATACGAAATATTAAAAGCTGAATATATTTTATGACATTGCAATAATAAAAAACATAGGATTTCAATTTATTTTAAATAAAATAAATTAATTGAATGATATATAGAATAGAAAATCGATCTTCGACATACCTTAACAGCTTCTTTGTCTTTGATAAAGACAGACCTGAGTTGACCATTCATTTCGAAGAACACCTCTCTCTCGCCATTCTTAGTTAAATCTTCAGCGACCGCCAGAGTCTTGATACCCAACGTTTTCCCTTTTTCAATAGTCACGTCGAACTCTTCTCCGACTTTGGGACCAGTCAAAAATATCCTGGTTTCTAGTTTGTCGACGGGACCGTACTGGTCCCTGAAGTTCAAGTAGTCGTTGGTCACTTGAGGGTAAAGGGCAGCTGACATCACGTCCCTGTTCGTGACGTGTGGGTGAGATTCTTGCAGTTCAGTTTTAAGAGCGTTGAAGTCCAAAGGCGGCAAAGTGGCACCGGGCCTTCCTCTCACTCTCGGCATATCCTTCAGCACCTTCGATCTGTAAAATAAGCATTATTTTTAAATATGGAAAAAGTATTGTTATTGAATTAATGTTTAAAGTCATAGAATTACGTTAACAATAAAATATTAAAATTAACATACCTAAGAGGCTCAGGGAACCCTCCATAAGGTTCTCCGATAGCACCTTGTAGGAACTCGACTACAGACTTAGGAAATGATAATTCTTCGGCCTTGTTCAGCACATCATCCGCAGAAAGTTTATTCTGAACCATGAACTGCGCCAGATCACCCACGACTTTCGAGCTGGGCGTGACTTTAATGATATCCCCTAGCAATAAATTCGCATGTCTGTAAGCTTTCTTCACGTCCTCGAAGAACTCGCCCAGACCGAGTGAATACGCTTGGAACTGTAAGTTGGTGTACTGTCCACCAGGAATTTCGTTCAGGTAAACGTCCGCGTTACCAGATTTCATTGTAGTCGTGCATTCGAATGGAGCGTACAAAGTCCTCGTCTGTTCCCAGTACGCCGAGTACTCGGACACGTCGTTCAGATCCAGTTTCGTATCGTACGGAGTACCTGTGAATTTTTTATAAACATTATTTAATATTATAATTATGCAATTAGATTTTTCATGAAATAGTGTAACATTGATTAATAAATTTAAATATATTGATTAAAGTAATATAATAGAGGATAATGTAATGTGATAACATTTATAATTATTTAATGTGATGAGATTGATTCTTACCAATTAAGGAAGCAACGACGGCTCCCATAGAGGGTTGACTGGTCATCCCTGACATACTGTCCACAGCCACGTCCACGACATCAGCACCGCTCTCGGCACAAGCCAGCATAGAGGCAACTCCAGCTCCAGCTGTATCGTGAGTATGAACGTGAATAGGAACGTCTGGGTGCTTCTGTCTGATAGCGTCGATCAGCATTCGAGCTGCCTTCGGCTTCAGAAGACCCGCCATGTCTTTTATAGAGAGAACGTGGGTGCCGGCTTTTACTAATTCATCAGCCAAGTTCGTATAGTATTTCAAGTCGTATTTCTTTTTCGTCGGGTCGCTGACGTCGCCTGTATACGAAATTGCAGCTTCTACTATTCCTCCGGCTTTTCCGGCTGCGTCCATCCCTGCAAAATATTTGTTTATTTAAACCTGCGTATTTTTATTTTAAAATTAAGTAAAATCGAAATTAAATGCTGAGACGTTTAGTTTGATTCGTTCGGAGTTTATGACTTACCAAGAATTAGATTAGGTAAATAGTTGAGCGAATCGAAGACCCTGAAGATGTCCATTCCCGTTTGCACAGCCAGTTCGCAAAACTTGAAAACCACGTTGTCTGGATAATTGGTATATCCAACAGCGTTCGCTCCCCTGAGAAGCATTTGGAAGGGAATATTCGGTATGATCTTCCTCATGTCTTCTAATCTTTCCCAGGGACACTCGTGGAGGAATCGTAGAGCGACGTCGAAGGTGGCACCGCCCCAGTTTTCCAGGGAGTAGAGGTTGTTGAATTTATGCGCGACGAACGGAGAGATCATGAGGAGATCGTGAGACCTGACACGAGTAGCTAACAGCGATTGATGGGCGTCTCTGAAAGTGGTGTCCATTAACAGTAGCCCTTTGTGCTCTCGCACTGCTTTCGCGAACGCTTCCGGTCCCTTCTCTTTGTAAATATGCCGGAAGCCTTTTGGAGGTTCCATTACACCTGGGAAATGAATGATAAGTAACATCAGTTTGGGTATTCGTGATGATTGGAAATTAAAGGAAGAAGCGTTCTCCGGTTAGTAAGCGTGTTACGGTTAATTTAACTTTGACGTGGCTACAGATAATGTTAACAATCAATTTATTTATTAAAACACTTGTTTCATATGATTTCAATTAATCTCAGCTTGAGTGTTTGTTAAGGATGTATTGGCTATACAGTCAATCCCAAAAGTTTATGCAC